GGCCACCGTTGTGCGGCGGGGCCAGCCGTAAATCACCTTCGTCGAACGTTCGAATCGGCAGACGTGTTGCGTTAGTGATTAATTAGACCCCTTACTATATAGTGTGATCTGTCGCGTGTCGTCAACGAAACGCCCGTAACGTAGGATCTCGCTTTCAATATTAATAGGACGTTGTCGAACTCAGTCGGTCGCGATGGACTTATCGAACCTCCTTGATTTACGATGTCGATCGCACGCATTCGTCCGACAATATAAATAATTACCCGGGTGTGTATCTCGCTAAAGAGATCGAACGTAATGACCTGTTTCTCGATAATATAATTCGTGACGATTTGTCGAGCCTCTCGAGTCGTTCGGGAGCTTTATAATGCTCGCGTGCAACAATCGCATGATTGCACGGTGCATTTCTCGCGAATGTCGGTGATCCGCGTAGTTAACGAGGTGTACGCCGTCCCGAGGGTGCCGATCGACGACAAATGGCTTCTCCAATTCGTTCTTCTAACCCTCCACAATAGAGAAAAAAACGTAATGTGCGGACGATCATTATCAGTGCATCGTCGAGACAGGAAATTTGTTACGTATGCGACAAGTCACTTTGCTATCAATATAGAATAAGGATGGTGGAGGGTTAAAATTACAACAGTCATGTACATTTTCCGCGCGTATTTTACAATCTTTCATTTTACAATCTTCGACATCTAGTTTCTTGTCGAAAAAGTTCTTCGATAACATTCTGCTTGCTGCTCGTCTCGAAATCCTTTTACGGTGACCTGTTCTCAATCTCTCTTTCTTTTTCTCTTTCTTTCTCACACACACACACACACACACATACATACAGAGCTGCGTAATCGATTTCCGGAATGTTCTCTCGTTTTCACAAAGAATTTTTCGAGACCGTTCGACGGCGCGGCAACGCGGATGGATCACGTCGGAATTGGAATCTCCGATTTGATAGAGATCTATTTCTGGGTCACCGCGTCTAACTCATCTTTCATCCTTCCGATGACGACGACGACGACGACGGTGTCGTATCGCTCGTACCTCTTAGATATAGCATATTATCTCGGAAAGAATACCTAACTTGTGTTATCTACGCGTAAGAGCACATCGTACTGTCAGGACGGTCACAAGCATCACTCGCGAAATAAGGTATTCATCTAAAGAGTTGCCGCATTCAAAAGTTTAAATAACTCGATATTTCCTCTTTAGAATCGAAATCTAAACGGACGAAAATAGTAATCATAAAAATAGATTAGATATAAAATTTAATAAAAAATTAGTCAATATTATTTTCTGAGCCATTTTAAAAAGAGAGTTTAATTGAATAATATATGTTATTACTGAACACACAAAATATTAAACTATGTTTTGCATATACTATATTTAACATTCGTTAAAAATATTTTATTAAAACATTTAACAAGTTAAAATAAAAAAACGTTTAATATTTGTTATAATAAAACATATTTTTTGAACAAATACTGAATAAAATTTGCGATATAATTCTGGTATTATTGGCGCTTAAAATCATTGCTAAAAACCGCCAATTATGATTATAAATCTTGCATGATATAAATTGATTTTATTAATTGGATATATTTAAATAATTACGTTCGGTTTCATTTTTTAACCGACCATCGAACAAGACTCTTAAAATCCTGATAGGGTGAAAATCGTTAACAACCCTCTAAATGTCTACACCTCGGGATTCGTAATCGCTCTCGAGAATCGGCATGCGTTCTTTCGGCGCGGATCGCTCATTATATTAATTAGACAGTTTCTTAAAAACTCCTGTATCGCGATTAATAATCATATCGTTCTCGTGCTTTACTTCACGGGTTTGCGTTATGAAACGTGAAGTAATGGCACGCAAGAAATTGATTCAGGAGTTTTAATTAACGCAGCGATTGAAGAATTTACGAGAGGGTATTTTTTGGCAAATTTCATTCGCTCCCTCGATGTATGTTTCGCAAAAAAGAAGAACCTAGGAATAAATAGAGTAAGTCCGCGATCGACAACGTCGAACGGAAACGGAAAATGAAGTGACGCGACATTTAAGGACTACAAGATAGATTTTGGTACAAAAATTTTAATGCTGTTCTACGACGTTATAATTAGATCATAAGACGACGTTTCTTGACTGGGTTTTTCGCCGTCCCGCCGTCTCTCTCTTTCTCTCTCTCTCTCTCTCTCTCTCTCTCTCTCTTCTCTCTCTCTCCTGCTATCTTCTCTTTAAATTACTTCTCCTTTCTCGCGTTGAAGCAAAAGGGCGACGGGGACGAACGCGGTGGTTCCTTCTTCCACCCCGCGAGGGAGAGGCCCACGTTGAAGAAGAGAGAAAAGGTAATAAAGTTTAACCGCGGCCTCACAGAGAACTGTTTTCAGCCCTTTTCTTCGTTGCCTTAGAAGCGACCCCGCGAGGCGCGGGAAGAAGGAAAGGCGGAGACGATATAAAGAAGGTAACTACATCCCCGATCGACCTTTTTTTTAATCTTAAAATGTGTCATTCGACCAACGTCTCAGTACACGTCAGTCCAACGAACTTCTCTCTGTATATCATTGTGTATGTGTTGTTCGTACGTGTATATTGTGTATATGTGTGTGTGCTGTATGTACGTATTCGTGTGTGGCTTATATTCTCTCTCTCTCTCTCTCTCTCTCTCTCTCTCTCTCTCATTTCCTTTCGCGCCGTTCTCTCCCGTCGCTTACTCGCGCAAAAACAGGCTCACACGGTTTAAAGCACCAACCGTACCGCTCGCACACAGCCGCTCGCGCATTCGCCTCGCCTGGCTATTATATCCGACGATATATCTGCATTTATATCCGTTAGTTCGCTTACCGCTAGGCGTTAATTAGTGTTACATCTAGTCGCGTGTGTGGCCGGCCCGTGCTATCCACGAGCGCGCTCATCACGGGGAAACGTGCGCGCTCCGCTTCTCGTTCCCAAACAGAAGTCTCGGAGTCTTCGGACACACCACGGCGCCGCGGCGCCACGGAAAAGCGTGCACCGCCTGACGTGTTGTCCGCCTGCCAATCCTCCTCGTGGCGCATCTTCACGCCGATCTTCCACGATAAGCCCGACGGAAGCGATTCGCGCCGGAAGCGCGGCGGGCGTTAAGAATCTCTACTCCTTCGATTGTACATCCGGACGACGCCGTGCGAGGCGAGTTTTATCTCCTCGCGATAAAATGTCCAACGAAAATTTTTTTTTTTTTTGTCAGACGATTTCGATTTCTGGGAACGTCGTATATATCGTACGTGTGCGCGCGGCGTCTCTTTCTTCGTCGGTAATGGGCTTTCTACAATAAGCTCTCTACAATAAGCCATTATCTAAGCTTTAAATCCAAAGCCGTAAGAAATCGAACCAATCACAGTCATTATATTTTCCTCCCATTTTTCTCTTCGACTGTGATTGGTCAATTTCCTATGGCTTAAGACTCGAGGCCCTAGATGGCTAATGGCTTATTGTAGTGGGCTCGTAAGAAATTCCTCTTGCCTCCCGATACCGTGCATGATTTCCCGAGCCGGTTAGCACGGGCGGCCAGACTTATTTCCAATGCGCGTTTTTACGATCCGAAAAATTACACAGTAACGTTATTTAGTTTATTTTTTTCTTGTTTCTTTAGCGTAACACGTACGGCATATCATTAATTAACGTTACGTTATTTATACGCTATGTTACGTTATTTACAATCACATGAATCGTAGATATTCTAACGAATCGTTCGTCTCCTGCCGCTGTCCTCGTGTTTTCTACGGTATATTTTCTTCTCTTCCTCTCTCTCTCTCTCTCTCTCTTTCTCTGTCTGTCTGTCTGTCTGTCTCTCTTTCTCTCTCCCTTTCTCCTTCCTTCGCCTCTTCCTCATCAGATATCTCTCAAGCATTTCCTTAAGAATTTTCTCAACGAGAACGTACGCTGCAGTCACTTTATATGCGCCCCTCGTTCGTGCGAGCTGAAACTTGTTCAATATTCAACACCCATGTGCAACGTATTTGCGCGCGTACACATATACATATATATATTTCTGTTCGTTTGTATATATATATATTTATATATATATTTATATATAATATTATAAAAAACAGTATTCCCTCCCCTCCCCACTAGTATTTGCGAGAAGAAAGCAAATTCGCGGGAGGCGCGCGAGGCGCCCACCGGAAAGCCGTACGCTCATCCGCTAAATTATACAACCGATCATGCTCAGAGGCGACACGCCGCGGGCCAAAACCGCTATGAAAATATGCGTTATCAAAATGTATTTGTCGAAAGTACTCGCCTATCGCTATGATGAGACGTTTGACGACTCATACAAGAAAAAGAAGTTCATCGAAGGCGGAGATCTGAATATGCGATTTAGAATACGCGTGAAATTTATCTTGTCACCCTACGTAATACGTTTATGTAAATTTTATACAAAACAAATGTCTCCTTTCCTTTAACGTCGTCCAACGTGAATAAACGTATAATATAGAAAAGTTAGTTTTGTGATATTTGGGAGGACCTCCCAAGGATTAAAAAGAGACTTTATCGGCAGTATTTAATTTTTTGAGCGTATCGGCAGTATTTCATTTTTCTACGTTCCTAAAGGGAAAATCTTCGATTTTCTATATATATATATATATGTAAAAAAAAAACGCGATATTTCCGAAGTCGCGAGACGACGCGTAAAGGAGCAGTCAGTGGAAAATGCGGCAGTCTGTACGGCCCGCGTCGCGATAAGTTTAGCCTGTGCATGTACGGACGTATGATATATTTTGATCGACGTGTGTATACTCAATGCGCTTTAATTACCAAAATTTTCATCGCGGATCGTCTCGAGACACCTGTCGCCTTTGACAACGTATTTATCAAGTATTTATAGAGGCAATGATAATTTCCAACATGATACCCCGTTTTATCTCACTCGCGATGAGCGATAAAAGTCCGTATAAATTTAATAATTTATTCCAACTACTCGTTTTAAATTTGGCTTGGTGCTGGAAATACCAGAAATATCGTGGCTAAGAGATTTGATATGAGTGAAACTTTGTCGTGTGTTTGATATGAATTCTTTACCTCGAGTACTATCGTCATGTTATTAATAGCAATAACATTTTTATTCCTTAATAGGGTCACTTTGATCCCTGTTCCTTTCTCCATCTTGTCAAGCTTTTTTATACGATCTTGGAATAGTCTCTTCGACAGATAAATTTAAAAGAAGATTCTAATTCATTTTCGGCGCGCGTATCGACAAATCGTCTAAGAGACGATGGCCGAGATCGCTCGGTCTCAGGACGATCCCAGATCACGCGGTAGACGTCAAGTATAGACACGCTTTGTTGTAATCGGTCGCTATCGAATATAATTAATTACATCGCATTTCGAAAATTCATCGAACAAGTTTCAATTCTATTCGAGCGGCGCGGACGAAGTTTTTCTGCTTTTTCTCCAGTCTCGTGACGGTTCTTCTTCTACGTCGACGCTCATCGACGTTTCTCTTTCACTCGTTTTCTTCCTTGCTCTTTCCTCTCTCCTCTCTACCTTCTCGTTTCTCTTCCTTCTATAAATTTCTCGTCACGTTATCGCTTTCTTGTTCCTATAATGGGTGCTACGAAACCACCCAACGCCCTCGCGATAGGATCTCGCGATCGTGATCGTTTTTCGGGCGTTCATTTTTTGAGATTTCGTAACTTTCTACCTTGTCGGGCTAAACAAACGGGAAATACGTGAAACAATTCTACAAATGTAAAATGTAAAATGCGTCTTTAAAAAAACAAAGTGAGTTAAACTTAATGATATCTTGTTATAATAATTCGTCAATCGCGATAATAAGAAAATAATAACGTTATTTTATTTGGATAAAATTTCTAATGGACGCGACTAAATAAATAGATTGTAATAAGTATGAATAAATAAAATTATCAGCTCGCCTCGGATTTTCAATTGAAAGTTTTCAAGACGTTCACGAACTACCCGTTGTTCAAGCTCGACCTAATTTATTTCCGACAACGTCAAAAAATTTCGTAGCTTCTCCAGCACGTACAGCTTCTCGTAGCAATTTAACAAGAATTCATATAATAAACTAATTCCTAATTTCTAACGGCCGGATCACTGTCTCGATATAATCGAGATGAACCTCTAACTCTTACTTCACGCGTACGGAGAAAAAACATACTACCTCCGGGATCATTATTCTTCCCTCCGATCTTTCTCTTTCTCTTTATCTCGTATATTACCCTCTATCTTTCTAATCTTCCTTTCATCCTCGCCCTTTTTATCCTTGATCTCTGAAAATCGGTCCGCAACATCGAGGATCTCTTCTCTCGAGGTAGTCGGGGTCTCGTAGCAGGAGATAATCGATTATACGCGTATACCATCCTTGCGGTCTTGCCTGATTATCGTTCCGTCGCAATGTAAGATGGATTTTTCGAGTAAAGAACCATAAGGATCAAAAGAACGAGGACGAATAGACGACTGCCGTGACTCGAGTACAGTGTCACCACTCCTGCCAGCCACCATAGAGTGGGACAGCCACCTGGCGCTGAACTGATGCCTCTCTGTATAGCCGCGGGGTGTTCCCCTAGAAAATCATCGAATACATGTATATTTGTGTCTAATAAAATAACGATAAACGAGATTAGACACGTTGAAATGAAGATTGTAATCTCGTATTCATATCGCATTCGTTATCGCTATATAATCGTAATTATCAATTATTTTTTTTGTAAAAGTTCATATTATTGTTGTACATGAGTTAATTATCAAGTGCTTTTTTTAAAAGTCTGTGTGAAAAAAGTATCTCGTAAACAGTGAATCATATGTAACATGAAAGTTTACAGGAAAAGAAAAAAGTTGAAACACTGTTGCCCGCGTTTTAATTTTAATTTTTTTTTTTTTTTTTTTACAAACTTTTGTCCCAAAGCGATAAAACGTTTCCACTCACCGTTTAACACATGCAGCTGCACACTCGCGCTATCCAAGTTACTCGGGCTGCAAGTATAGTTACCCGAGTCCTCCCGTCTCGCGTTGTGGATCACTAGGCTGCTCACCGTATCCTGCTCGATCCTCTTCGTCTGAATGTCGATCTTGCCCAGCTGATAATTTAGAACGCGATCGCCCTCGTGGTACCAGAAGACGTAGAACGGGCCCTCGAGAGACTGTTTTATTACGCATCGTATTGCGACTGTACTTCCGGTTTTCACGTACATGTCACGGTCCCCCAAGATCTCGATCTTTGGCACTGTAACGACGAATATATAATTGGCTCAATATACTCTTTAAATCTCACTCTGAAGAGCGAAATCTTCTTAAAGATTGCAAATTGAATCGCTCTTTTTCAAGACTGGCTCAATTTTTATTCTTTAGAGCGAGATCTCGATTAGTACAATGTCTAAAATCGACGCATTTTATAACTTTAACATATCTTTCAAAGTTCTTTATGGAATATCTCAAAGACGTTTCTTAAAGAACTTTTAAGGATATTTTAAAATCGTTTTATGCTATTCATAGACTATTCGTAGACATTCTACTCTCTAAATCTTTTGGAGTGAAAATTGAGCCGGTCTTAAAAAAAAAAAGAATGGAAATTTTCCACTCTTAAACAAGAGTGGGAGATTTTCATTCTTTTGGAGTGAGATTCATTCTAAGAAATGAAATCTCCTTTTTTTTTGGAGACTTCATTCCACTCTTGTTTAAGAGTGAAAATATTTTCGCTCTTTTTTCAAGACTGGCTCAATTTTCAGCCTTTTAGAGTAAGATTTCACTCCAAAGGATTTAGAGAGAGTAGACTCATTAAGATTCCATTCTCAAAAATTTCGAGAGTAATCGCCTTCCGCTTGAGCTTGATGATGTGACTCTTCTTCGGGTCGGTCGAGATTTGGCACTCGTACTCGCCTTCGTCGCGCGCTTGGACGTATTTCACCTGCAGCGTCCACGTGTCCGCCTCCCCGAAAATCGCTTGGAACCTTTCGTCCGGAATGAACATGGTTCTATCCACCGAGAGGATATGCGAGTCTCTTCTTCTGATCCAGGAGACCTTCGGATTAACCAAAGTGAATTGTTTCTGTTCGTCTTAAACGATTCATTAAATTCTTCTCACGCGTGAGATCTTTTTACAGTCCTTGCAGTCGTCGGTTTTAAATTTTATTAATTTGCATAGAGATTCATCGACCATTTCCTGTCCCTGTTCTTATGACAACGCTTCTAGAAATTTCCTTCTTAATGTATCTGAGAGATTTATTCTTCGTCATTTACTGTCCCTTTTAATCGCATTAGCTTGATGTTAGAATCACCAGGATTATCGCGAGCCATTATTCAGCAACTGAGTGGATAGAGACTCGAGAGAGAGAGACAGATGAAATTGAGGCGTGTAAAAAAAGAAATTTCTGTCAAGTATAAAGAACAGAAGAGAGATACGGTGATGAAGAAAAAAGAAAACAGCAGGAAAAAAAAAAGTAAGAATGAGAACGTTCGATTCGTTCCGATTCCGGGGACGATCAATCTTCCATTCCCGTCGCAGTTAATTTATCGTTCATCGACCGGACGGCTTGCGCGCGCCCGACGGAAATCTAGATGGTGCCGCGAACCACGTTACTGCGTCGAAAGAAGGCGAGGTACGAATACATTTAATTCGCCAGCCGATAAGAATCGAGGCGACGGCGACGGCGGGTGCGGGCCCCTCAAGTACGCGCGGGTCGCGTGTTACCGGATACTTAGTCCTCGTCCACGTGCCAACGGCGACAGACGGATATTCCGTATAATCCAGGGTACAACGAGTACGCCTGTACACGTTGGTAAAGTTCGTTAACGAAAGACACGGGGGCTGCCTTCGAGACTGGCGCGTGCCGACGGCGGTAATTTTATTACGCGCCCGACGACGGTAGACATTCCGCGAAATCATCCCTTCGCTGCGCACCGGTTACCGATTTCACGAGTGGAGAGAGACAGAGAAAAGATCTGTTCGCGTCGCTTGAAATCCCCTGAAATTTTTGCACTTCAAAGGAGATCAATGGCCGATATTCATAGTCTTATATTTAAGACCGTCTTAAGTACAGTCTTAAGATGTCACGAATCAATCAGAGGCCGGTATTCATAGGCAGTTCTTATGTTCAAGATTGTCTTAAGTTTAATCTTGAGGCGACTCAGAGGATCGCATTAGAGTCTTAAGACATTACTTAAGACGGTCTTAAAATAAGAACGGACTATGAACGGACTATGAACCGGTTAATATGTGTTTTGACGTTAAAGGGAGAGAAAGAAGATGTTGAGTGTAAAAAATACAAAGCAACGCGAATAGACTTAATGAAAGAAAGCGGAATAAACCGCGAATCATTAGCAGATTGGCGTTTTATTAACGGGATGAATTGATTCGATAAAAGCGGGCTATCTGTCGCCGACAGTTATCCGACATGGAGGAAATAGAACGCGATAACGATTGAAATATATTAGTTACGACCTTTTATTATCTGTGACCTTTTGATAGAAATAATCGCTGTCCAAGGTCGGCGATTTTCACATTAGTGAAACGAATGATTGATAATAGACATAACTCCGGACGTCGCTTTGATGCGTTGATCGTAATCTGGTAGTTCGTTAATAATAAAATAGCGCTGAATGAACGCATGCGTGTAGATTAACTTGTCCGCGTGTGAATAACGGAATAGTATACTAAGAAAGAAATCTAGTAATAGCTACCAAATGCATTTTGTTGTGTGTACTGGCGTAATATTTAATGAATATTACTAAACGTAATAATAGTAATTTGATAATAATTATTAAATATTTATAAAAATAAAATAATTAACGATTAGTTGGTCCAATTAAATAATTTAAGTATTTAAAACCAAATTATTTAATAATATTAAACGTATTGATTATAATCAAATTATACGAAGATTTATTAAGTGATTTGATAATAGTTATCAGATTATTTGAAGCAAATAAGTGCCTAAAATATTTTATAAATATCGTCAGGATATTCCTGGACTGTCATCTTAAATAGTATCGTTTCTCATGTAAAATTTAGTTGAGCTTTTTATGCAATCAAGTTTATATGACTGAAGCTTAAGCAAGTAGTCGTCTATGTAAATGCTAACATTGTAAGTCTGTCCTTTTTAACTGAACTTCATTTTTCCTCTTTTTCTTTTCATGTTAGAGAGAAAAAAAGAAAAGGTGAACTATGCAAAAGTTCAACTAAAAAAAACATACCTTATACCTCGTTTTCTCTGAGTGTAATTAGCAAATTATTAATAATTTTGAACGAAATAAATCCGAATGAGATAATTATTATCAAATCATACAATAATTAAGACCTAACAATTTAGTTATATTCATTAAATCAAATAATTAAAAAACTAATTATTTGATATTTATGATAAATTTAGTAATACCTACCATAATATCATTATTCAGTACTTATTAGTAAGTAAGCAATTTAACTACATTTATTTGCCAATTCGTTTGATTACATTTATCTATACGATTTGGTAATAATCATCTAGCTTTATAAACAATTTCTAAAATTCGGTTAAACTATTTAGTAATAGTTATTAAATCTCTCGATTATATTAACCAAATATATTTAATTAAAACACTTTAGTAACTATCACTATCGTAACTGAGCTAAATTATGATAATTAATTTTTCTTTTCAGTTTAGCAGAGATTGAAAGCAAAGAAATTATCTCCTCGATTCACAATCAGTTTTAACAATTTTTCCTTGCATTTTTTTAAGCGTTGTCATTATGTCAAATAGAGTACCATTGTTGTAACTGTCACGCAGGAATTTGGTCTTTATTATGTTATTTGACAAATATGCTCGTTAATAAATCAAGTTGTAATCAATACACGTAATCAATATCGCGTAAGGCAATTTCTTTCTATCAAAAATTGGAGACTATGACAAGAATAAATATTAGATCAAACCGACAGCGCGATGACAGTTGTATTGATATATATGAAATTATAACATCCTTACATCCTCACAATCCTCGAGGATTATAACACAAGATATAAAAATTGCCGTGAGCGTCTCACGTAATTAAGATTAATTTTTCTTTCTGTGTTTATATTCACTCGTTCACCGAGAAGAGAGCGTTCTCTTCATTTTTGGCCTTTTTATGCTGAAACTTTGTTATTAGGTCTGTTTTCTGTGGCTGAACTAGAGTACACTTTTGAAATTTAAAGTGACATAGATATATTTTTGATATTTGGTGAAAGAGCGAGAAAGAGAATGTAGTCTAGCAGGAATATAAAAAACAGACTTATCCTAAGCAGAACAACAAGTCATTATGATATCAAAATGACGTCAAAATGATCGTTTTTCAATCATTTCCGATTCGTTTTAATGTCATTCTCGCTTTAATGTCATTCTTATCGTGACTCGTTGTTCTGCTTGGGATTATATGATATCAGATAACTTACTGATTTGTTACCAAGCTGCCGCACTTTGCACGGTAGGTAAGCATGAGTGCCCAACTGCGCCGTGATATTCGTTGGAGTATTCGAGTCGAAGTAAGGCCCCGTGTAAATCCCGTCAAATCTCTTCACCAGCGAATGAGATCTCGTACTTACCCCTGAAAGAACGTGTTCAGAAAAATGTCTCGCGTGTGTCACGGTGGTGCCGTTTACATGCGATCAGAGAGCGGAGACGGAGGGGGAAAAAAAAACGGCGCAATGCGGAGAATACGGAAATGTATATTTCTTTTGCTAAAATACGATACGTCGCGAACGTATGAAATACCCGAATTATCGCAACGACGCGTCTTTAAAACGTCCGTATAACTTACCTAGCGTCGGCACGTTATGCGGCGAATTAACATGGAGGTAGCGATGTTAGCCCGTCGCAATGGAATAATAAGGCGAACCAGATCTCGGAGAAGGGACTATTTCGCATTCGTGTGCCGTATTCGCTCGCTCCCTCGCGACGCTATTCGGAATAAATCCTATCGTGGAGTAGACCTCACCGAGGTGCCGCGCCGTGCCCGGGGGAAATGGATACTAATCCCGGGGATTCCGATCTGGGAAATCTAAAGGCGGATCAGGATTCAAGGGGAAAGAGGGAAAGAGCAACGTGGGCTTCGTTCCAACGACCTTGACGATATTACATCCGATCTTAAGGTTCGATCGGTAGAGCGTGAAATCCCACGGATGTTCATCCGGATTTGCATAGCGCAGTTGCGGTGACCATGATTTGAGAAACACTCACCGGCGCCTCCAGCTAAGTGCGAAGAATGAATACCTCAATTAGGACAAAGAAATGTTTTATGTATAGAGGAATCAGACTGAAACGTTTAAGATGCTAATTAATAAATTGCTTCGAGATGTTTTCCTCGCTCGGAATTTACATTTTGTGGCCATTACTTTATCCTACTTCTATACCTTTCACTTTGTTGACTAAATGCGACTAATTATTTTGCTAATTAGCAGAATCGTGTTTATAGCTGATGCTGTTAATTCCGCGAAGGCGCCCAAGCAAGAAGCGAGCGTATGTCGTTGTGCTATCAAGATTCGCCGAAACTTTGACAAATGACAAAGCTGGTGATAATTACGCTTAATTAAGATCAGCAGTACGATAAACGCGCGACGAGATAAGGAGTAAATATGAAATCGCTTGTACAGGCAAACCTCACTCTATTACGGCTTTATCTCGCATCGATTGTTCTACTTATGCGCATGAAAATCGCAGCTGCTGCAACGGTGCTAATTATTATTTCAATCAAACTGTAGAGTAATGAATCAAAAATTTAATCTCGATGACTAATCGACGAGCTAAGGTAAACAATGGTGCCGAGGATTTTTATCGATCAATTTTTTATTTGATTTCAAGAGAGAATAATACCTTCTGTTTTCTTTCCGAGCGAAAAATTCAAACAAAGGATCGCAAAATCAAGTTTCTGAAGTTAAATTCTTCTTCAGATTTCTATTTGTTTTTATCGCAACGATCCGTGTAATGTTCGAAAGGCGATTGATGAATTCGATCATCATTCGCAATTAAAATCGCCGCGATAAAAAAGTTCTTCCTCTATCCTTCACATTCGAAATTACATCGTCCCAGAAACGTTAAAACTGCATCCTGCAGCCGACAAATCCAACACGTTTCCGTGGGAACCGAGAGAGGTAGATTGGCAATCAGTACGCGGCTACGAGTGGTGTATTGTCAAATGTGCCGTAGGTGCCACGAATTCGTGTCTGGGGGCTGCTACCGGTCCTTCTCCAGTACACAGTCGATCCTCTCGATCTTGAGGGATGTAAAATCTGCGCAGCTGCGCGCACGCGCCCCTATCGTTTGTCGCGAGATTGCACCCTCACCACCGAGTTGGGATCATTTGCCTACCACGAAAGGAGGCACAAATAGGCGCTCGCTAGATGCTGCCTACGCCGCCCCGAACCTATTTTTCATGTCGACGTGCGGCGAGTTGCGCAAAAGTCGCGCGATCTCGTTCCTCCAGGGGTGCGTAATACAGTCATATTTATCTCGAGATTAAATCAAGCAAAGAAGCACTTGAGCGAAAGAGGGAGAGTTGACACGTTTTATCGCGGCGAGACGTACGTCGACGTGAAGCATGTAATTTCGCAATGTAACGCACCAGGGTTTAAGCTCATTGATGGATAGCTGAAGGAGCTTATGTTTATCGCGGTAGGCGCTGGACATAAATACGAGAGACGACTTGGCGTCTGCATTATTCATGTCGACGTTTTGTAAGTCGGTTTGCGTCGCTCCCATAATTCCCGAGGGATGCGTGGAAATCACGTTTATCCACGAAGATTCCGATAAAAACCGAATGGCGACACGATATTCTCGGTTGTGTATTATTTAAGAGGGCACTGAAGAGGAAATAGACCGAAGGTATAAAAAGACACGAAGGGGAGAATGAAGTAGAATCGTTTTGATCATCGTTTCTATCGAGGCACGACTTTGCGGCACTCTGAATAAAAGAGTGTTATAACCGTTTTTGACCGTAGCGGGTTTGAACCGATCTAAATTGGATTAATGAACGTTGTATGGTCTATCAATCCAACTCATTTTTTAGCGGGTCAAATCCGCTACGATCGAAAACGTTAGAGTAAAACAATAGGAGTGATGTCTTCCGAGAGTATCTGCCAAGGTATGAAAACTATTATAAAAAATCTGAGAAAGTATTGCTTTATAAATCTATTCCGCTTCACGCAGCAATAAGTCGCGATAAGGTGTCTCCCTGCCGCGTAATCGAGCGTGATAGGACGTGATCGCGGGTGGCTGGAGGGAGCACGGAAGAAGTAAATTTCTCGGAAACAGAAGGCGGATCTAAAATCGTATATTTCCCGAGAGACAATGCCGTCCGATGTATGGAGGAGACTCGAGCCGCGTCCGGCAGGGCTGCTGTTTCCTTTCCCACTTTGTCAGAACAACACGTACGCATGCCCGTGCAGTTTTACGACGTCATCGTGTGCTAAACTACCACATAAATCCCAGTTTTTTAGCTTCCGAAGGATTATTTCTCACCGACGTGATATGATTTTATAATAATTCCCACACGACACATACGGACTTACATCGAAATAGAATCACGGATCTGCGAGGTCGCTCCGATTCTTTTTCCCTAAAATAAGATTTAAAGATATGAAAAGATATGAAATACACCTACGATAATCTTCTTCCGTTCTTAACGCTTAATTTAGTTTCGTATAGTACTGATATATATATAAAATCTATTACTGAGAATTAACTAGAAAGTGTTAGTTCATTTGATCAGTTTGATGCAATTTCCCAAACGTTTTCAGCGAAGTCTGCGAACTCGTTGAAGTTGCATCAACGTCTGCAAATTTATTTTATGCGTCGAGAAATCTTCATAAGTGCTACGAGAACGCGATTTCGCGTAAGGAGCTGTAGCATCTCTCAAGGCAGTAGTTACGCCCCGAGTTGCGCCAGCCGCGTTGATAGGCACGTCGAACTTCTCCGTTTTCTGGGGGAACGAACGGTTAATCACCGTGGCGAAGTATAATCAGCGGTTGTGTAGCGCACTCTACCATTGCACGCGTTTGTGCGCGAGTAGGTACTATACGGATCGAAAGTGCATAATGTATCGGCGAGAGTGATGTCGGGATAAACCCGCCATTACCAGCTCTGAAACTACAAACTCCTCGTAGTATCTCTCTCGTAGTTGAGAGCAGTTAGCATACTTTCCAAGTGGTTTACTGCCAGCGAGGGGGGAGGGGAGGCGAACCAAACTACACACCGATCCTTAGACAAGAGCTCGAGTAATTATTCGACGAACGGCCGTGCAAACCAATTGCATCGACCGACAGTCGTAGTCGACGTTTTTTCCGCGCGGCTACGAACGCAGACGAGTTCGACGGCGATAATCCGATTTGATCGGCGCTTTGGATTTTCCGCTCGTGCTCCATTGGATCCCAGAATTGATCACGCCTCGCCGAAGAGGCAGGCTCACGGAGCGAGAACGTTCCTTAAGCAACCCGAAACGCGTCAGATACTTCATCGAATGATCAAGTCATCGCGGTTAAACGCTGATACGCTTGGAGGAATTGTATATTCGCGTCGTCTGTTCAATCGAGAAATCGCTTTCAGAAGGTAAGCCTACAGTTGGTCTCTCGTTTCTTTCCGTCGTAGTAAAAGATCTCCGCACTCCACTCGAAAGGAGAGCTTATCTCTCCTTATCTCGATTTATGATTCATAACAGACTGAATTCTACAATCAAAGGCAAGTTACCTTCGACAGAGGAACAGTTCTACTAGAAATTGGTGTTTCTTGCAAGTTACTCGAGAAAGCTTTCCGCTTCCGAAAGATTGGATCGAACTCATGTTTAAAGAAGAGATGCAAAAATCATCCAGTACCTTCCCACCGAGATGTCTCGAGTGCAGTAGCTAAGCTATCTCTCGCAGATAACATGTACTCGCAGAATGCATGAGTGCACTTTCCAGAACGACGCCGTGACGTTCCTGTTTCAGCGGATTTTAAAGCGCGACCGCATCGCGGTGATGCAGCCGCGCGAGATGAAATCGATAGACACGTCCCTGAACGACGCCACGGAGGAAAGGGGGAACGCGTTCGTCTCTCTCCTCGTCTTCATCCCGTGATGATGGAATCATCGAGACGACACGCTGCTGATCCCGCAGAGACGCAGGGTGGAAGAGTGGTGGACAAAGAGGAGGATGTCGAGAGGGTGAAGGGGAGAAAGAAAAGCAGAAAAGGGGATAGAGAGAGAGAGAGAGAGAGAGAGAGGGGGGGGAGAAGAGAGAGAGAGAGAGAAAGAACAAGTGTGGAGAGAGGCACAATGCTGCGGCGCGACAAACAAGGGTGGCGCTAGATACGGTCCTGGACCGGGACCGGAGGTTGCGTCCCCCCCTTAGTCGTCTCCGTCCTTTGTAGTCCTTATCTATTCTCGCGTATCCTCGATCCTTCCCCTCCTGTATGATCTCCACACTCGGTATCCGCCGGTATTCGCGACAGCGGGAGAAACGCGCACGAGTGCGCGGTACGTACGTTCGTAAATGCATGCGGGGCGCGAGGGAGAGGATATGCAACGTACTGCTACACCCCAAAATCTGATCGATCCATCCGCGGCACGAGTTCCATGCGAGCCCCGCCTCCTCGTAAATTGTACGATGATGTTCGATAATTCGATCACCACCCGTCTATCTACGTGTATCGCATGAATCGAGTAATCGCTATTTACAGCATCCCCCCCTCTGACAGCATCTTCCTCTCGGAGCCTCGACCTGATATCTCGACGCCGCCATCTGTTTCATGGATCCGCGTCACAGTGTGGAAATGTATGTTTTTTTTTTAAACTGTATGACAAGCCGTGGGATCTCCCCGTGAATGAGGCTTACCGGTAATGCCTAGTAGGATCCAGCACACGAGGCACAGGACGTAGTAGTTGACGTAGGAGGACCTCCTCATGATGATCACGACGACGACAACAACAACGGCGACGACGACGACGGCGGCGTAACTGTCCCCGATAACGGGTCCACTGACATCTCATGGAACACCGCGATGCACCTCTTTCTCTCGGCGCTCCTCCACTTAATAATCCTCCGTCGTCGTCCCGTTCATCCTCCAACAGCAGCCGGTGCTACCAGGACCCGCGCATACTCCCGCGTTACCCGTCGTTGCAACCCTCTCGTTGCAACCCCCCCGTTGCGCTCTTGTTGTGCATCCACCGATTTTCCTTTACTCTCCGTTTCCTTTATTCTCTTCCCTTCTCTTCCTTCTTTTCAAAACACTCTGATATATCACATTATCTCGCTGTTGGATACTCGCGATTGCAAGTGACGGAACGAAGCCGAGGTACGAGGGTCTAATTTGTGGGCGGTCTCGCGCGCGAGGTTCACCGTACACCAGTATATACCTTCTTGTACTGAACCGTGGTTGCAAGAGATTAGTAACCGATAAAATTTTTCTTTATTACTCCCGAAGAAGACGTAAAGTGTCGCGCGCACCAAGGTCACGAAGCGGTCTGCCTGCGTTCAATCGGGCCACCCCTCCCCACCTCCCTTTCTTTTATTCCGCGGTTATACCCCTCGTTCTACGGACGCACGGTATACTCGGTGTGGATCGGTCGGTCGTACTGTGAAACGCGACCGGGTTTCCCGTACTCGGCTCGTCCGTGGTTCGTCGTCCCGGGCGAAGCTCTGAAACCGCCGGGCCTCCGGTGGCACTGCCCGCGCCCGCCCGGGGATTCCGCGCAGGCGTGCTCTCTCTCCTCTACTCCGGCGGCGATCAGTCAGCCTCCTCCTTCCTCGAGGCCTTCTGCCTTTTCCGCCGCGCGCCTTCTCTCCATCCCCGTGCTCCATCCTACGGCTTTGCGCGCTCCGCTCCACTCCGCTCCGCTCCGCTTCACGTCGCGTCGCGCCACGTCGCGCAGCTCTGCCGTTCCGAATTTTTCTTCCTGCATTCCGCGTCCTCGTCTCTGTCACATTTCTCTTTCTTTCTTTCTTTCTTTCTTTCTTCTATACCGCCGGTAGCCGGCTTCCTATGCGTGTCTTATGCGGCGACAAGACTCTGCAATTACTACTCGTCCCGCAAGCACGGATAAATTTCACGCTTCTTACACGACATCGTCATCTCCCCTTTCTCCTCACCTCGGGGGTTGAATGGCACGCGACCTCGGACTCGCGTCCTGTCTCCTGTCAACCGTCTAAGGAAACTTTAAACATCGCGTTCCATCCGTAACCGCGTGTCAGGTTGCGCACCGGAGCGTTTCCCAACCCGCCACGATCATCACACGCTCGTTAATAATCATTAAAGAGCTTCGGTGCTCCGTAATTGCCCTCATCGTCTTAATTTCCATATTTTATTTTCTCTCTGAATCTCTCTGTACTTGGGCGAGCAGACTCCATAATTTCAAATATCGGAGTCATCTTACGTCGTTCTCGTTATAGTTTTGTAACGTGTAGATTTCAACGTGCGGTCTTAATGACATTTTCGACATTTTCGACATTTTCTCTTCCGGACTCTTCGGAAGAGAAATTTTTTCTTAATTTTTCGCGAACGTATATCTAACGTATATCTAACGTTTAACTCTTAGATTCGCTCGGGTTTCCCATATTTGTGACTGAAAAGTCTCTCACATTAAAGCAGTTCTTCCGCAAAACGCGAAATGAGTAATGAGAAAGGAATCTCTTTACCAGATGACATACAAATTATGTTTACGCATTCTCGAGAATATAATTACATTTGTGGAAAATTAAATTTTTAACAAAAGTATTCTGTATAATTGGATATGTATTCATACACTACGTTAAACAATGTTTCGCGGATATTGTAGCTCAGCTACCTATGCAATATGCAACGTTGAAATTGAAGTAGACCGGTTGGAACAGAATGGCGGAAATGTATTTGGAGTCCTTCGTCCCACCATGGAAATCCAGCGCGCTTCATCGTGGACAAATGTTAAGCCGCTTTACGGTTATGAATCTTATCCCCGGAGACTGATGTGGCAGTGGGCTCGGTTATTTAATAGGAAAAAAAGAAAAAATACCAGCCGTCGCGCTTTTGTTCGTGCTCTCCTTCGACACAACGGACCGTTCCGTATCTGCACCGCTTTCGCTCTTCGAGACGTTTAGACAATACAACGCGTCCCTGATCTTGTTTCGCTTTAATTCAACTGACAAAAGTTTAATAGTCTAAAAATTTCTCTCCCTTTTACTATTTTATTCTTTATATCGCAATTCTTTATATTACACACATTGTATTCGATATTCTTATATATTCTACTTACGTTTTCAACGAATAATTGCTATTGTTAACAGATAGCTAAACAAATAAATAAATATTTAATTCGCCGATTCTACGAATTCCTATTTCGATTGACGTCCATTATTTACGACAACGAGGTTTTCTGCTTGACGTTATCTAGACGAATATCGTTACCAACTTTCGTGTTCGCTCGCCGAAATTAACCGCCATCGTCTTCGGAAGTAAGTTTTCGTATCACGCCGAGTTCACGGGACACCGACGTAATTTGCATGAACGACGGTATTTGGTAAATTGTATAACTTTTCTTCTTGATGATCGACTGATCTCATTTGTATCCCTGTTTCTATTTTGGGACTTTCTTGTCTCCTCATCTACACATGCTCTTTATTTATATAAGTTTGGAAAATTAACGCTACAACCTTCGTTTTCTTTTCTTTATTTCGCATAAACGTTATTTAATCGAAAGAAACAAATGTACAAGAATCTCATGCAAAATATAGTTTACAATAAAATCAGCAAATGAATATCAAGTGCTGTAATTTGTGCGCAAGATTCATATTTAATATTTAAATTAAAATCTCGAACGTTTCGGCTATCCTAATTCGTTATCCTCAGCGAATAATCATTGTAGCTTCCTGCTCTCGAATTAGAATCAAGTCACTTTAGATAGCCATTTTTAATATACTAACCCACCGTAATTTGTAATTATTATGAATTATTAAGAATGGCGCCAGACTGACGACTTGGCTTTAATTGAAACGTGGAAGCATGGGAATGATTATACGTTGAGAATGACACGAATTGTAGCCGCAATATTCGAGATTTTAATTTAAGCATTAAATGTATATGACCTTGCGCACGAATACAGTGCATAATTCTCATTTCCAGATTTCGTTACAAATATTTTAAATATCGAGGGTCCATTTACTCTTTCTTTTCTCATCCATCATATAGGTAAAATAAAATTATTTATGTCAATGCGGATAGATATTATATTTAAATATCGCTCTATTGTTATATTTAAAGCAGCAACTATAAAGCAGTAGTATGCCAGATAAATAATAATAGTAGCTTTTTTCTGAGGTCAAACAACGCCGTGGGATTATCTGGTTGCCGATCGAAGCAGACGAAAACTGATCGGCTGTTCGCTCACCTTTTATGGCCCTTCGCTTTACCTTCAGGCAAAGCGAAGGGTCGTGTCACCGATGGAAAGTCCTACGCTTTTCATGGTGCATCGACCTGACTGGGTTCAACGTTAACGTTGATCGGCTTCGGAACTATGCATCTCTCGACCGTTGGGTTACGATAAACTTTACACACGACAAACTGTCGCAGAATCGACAAAAAGCACGGCAGCTGATCATTCTCGCGCGAGCCGATTATTCATTTTTTATCAGTACGTTCTATTCTCTCTCACTTTTTCTCCATCTTCTCCCGCTTGGACATTCCGCTTTTGTGTCGCTTTTGAAACACTGAAACTTTCAGACGTGCCGTGCGCTAAACTCGTCCCTCTTGTGAGAGAATTAACGGCGCGACGTTATAGGCGACGGTGAAGGGACCCGAGGGGGCCATTAATAAAACGTCATTTACTCTTAAACGATTTTCCGGCTTTCCCTCTTGTGCTTGCGACAATTCCACCGTCCCGTCGTAGAGGATAAGCTATACGCTACGACTCAAATTCCTGATACTAATTCCGAAGTTAGGGGGAAGAAAATATTCTGATTTCGTTGCATTTCATAATTATAGAGTACTTTCAAGTAAGAATCTGATCACGCAACAGTTTTTTCGCGAGACAAATATGACGGCAATGACTACGCAGAAAGAATGGTTTTACTGAAATAACTAAAATTTTAGCTGGATACAAATCTAAAAATAATTGTGTCAGATCATGATAATAATTATGTAGGGCGCTCAAATTGATCGCTAGGATATAAAAATTTTGTTAACCATTACTCATCATGCTTGAGATTTCTACAAAATTATTTTGATAGTTCAATAAAATTATTTTTAAATCTGTATCTATAATTGAGTATTTCAGTAAAATTGTTCTTTTCGTGTGTTGCAGAGTGCATAGAATGGACAACGCGAATCTTATATAATTTATTATACTCTACAATGCAAAATCAAATATCGTCCGCCATGTTTGTCTTATGATCAGACTCTTGAGGGTCTTACTTGAGCTTGAGGATCTCCTTAACAACCTTTGCTTCGTGTATTACACCACATACAAACGAAAATACCGGTAGTCTAGACAAGAGCAGGCGGTAGTTATTCCAACCAGAACACAAGCTAACCCAAGTTATAACATCAAAGTAATATCAAAATGGCTTCAAAATGATTTCTAAAAGTTATTTTTCTTGAAATAAATCGTAACCAAAGAATCAAATAAATACGATTTACTTTTAATGTCATTTTGACATTGTTTTTTGAAATAGTGCTTTTCATTGGCAGAATTAATGCGCACTCAATGCACTTTAAAGCCGATATACAAATCGATATGAAATATATATTTAATAAAAATATAGAAACGAATTAAACCGCAAAATATTCAATGCATTTTATTGTGCTATTTGATAAAATACACATTGGGCATTTTATCAATTGAGATATCTCACTTTTATACATTTAGATTAGAATAATGTACAACAGGTGCATTGAGTGTGCACTAGTTCTGCCAATTAAAAACGCTAAGTGAAGATATGAATCAACTACTTTTGATTGATCTGCCATGTTTTAGCAACTCCTGAGAGAGAGAAAGAGAGAAAGAGAGAGAGAGAGAACATGATAAGAAAAAGATAGAAAGAGAAAGAAATAATGAAGTATTATAAATATATGTCCTTTTTTCTCTGTGTGATTTTGCTAAAACTATAGTAAATATATGTCCTTCTTTCTCTATGTGATTTTGCTAAAACTAGAGAGGCCCTACATATAAAACGGTTCGTGTCCAGACTTTGATTATAGGATCTCTAATCTGGATTATAGGTATTTTCGTTTATATACGATACGATACATGAAGCAAAGGTTCTTATGTGTATGTATAAATGGTTATGTGTATAATATAAAGGAGGTTTCTATTGTGGAGAGTAGGTACAAGGGGAGAAAAAAAGTTTTATAAAATATGTGAACGTAAGTGTCACACGCAGCTGCAGGTGCATCGGAGTGCATACTGTCGCGTTTTCTACTCACCGGGATGGCGGAGAGACTCCTCGTCCTTTCTTTTACGGATATCCACGCGACGGTGATCCCGAATTTTTTCCCGCGTAGTTTTATCGCCCACGAAGTTTATCTTTTATCAGGATAATCTACGGTAAGAGGCGGACGCGACTGTCGCAGGCGCGTAGATTGATAACAGTATCGATACAGCGGTAGAAAGTTTTCTCGACACTCCTCTCTCGTTCTCTCTCTCTCTCTCTCTCTCTCTCTCTCTTCGTCCGATGAAATCTCGCCGTCAAGGTACACAACAACAACAACATTATTGACACTCAGCGTCGCGATGGGTGGAAATACAACCGCGAAACTGGAAATATCGCATTACGTTCGGGCATGTGAGATTTTCGAATTCGAGAAGAGACGTTACAATGCGTTTCACATTGCAGAATGAAACCGACCATCGTCAGGGGATCGTCTCACAACTATAATACATATATTGAAACGCATTCGGTGTATTCGGAGTAAACGAGCGCACGCTGATTTTAGTAATGATTCGGTGCGGTTTTGTAAATAAATATTTCCTCGCATCCCCTCATTAACGGCGCCACGTGTAGAATTTTTCCGAATCGACGAAGGTTTACGTCTGTGGAATCAGATAATTTAGGGCGTACGTGATTCGAAAATAATTGGATAACGTGTGGCGAAACGCAAAACTTTTGAATGCATTTTGCGCACCCGTCTCTACCTTCTTCTCCTCCGCCGCCCCTTTTTTCCTCGTCCTTCGTTTATATATCCATTTTCGCGGAAAGTTAATTTGTAGAAAGCTCATGAAACACGTAGAATAAATACATTCTTCCCGTTTTAATGGCGCGACGGCTCGTGCAGGCACGCCATATCGGTGTCGTTTGTCATGCACGAAGCACGAGCAACGACGTTATCGCGTTCACGATTAATACCCCTGACAAATCGAGGCGCAAAAAAGGGAAAGAAACGGCGGAAGCGCGGCGGGCTCAACTAGGAAAGACAGAGAAGTTGAGAGAGGACAGACGAGGACTGAGCGAAACTGTGTGTCCTGTCCTCGTTTCGCGAGAAATTATCGACGCGCGACCCACGCCTTGAAATTACGCCACGTTTATAGGACAGTGGTGCACTATGCATCTCTTCCAACAATTTTGTACCCAAGGTAGAGATCAAGTTTGCGTGGATAAATTTGTAGAATAAAATCCATGGCAACATATAAAAACGTATGGCA